CTTTTTTTTTTTTTTTTTTTTTTTTTCTCAGCCTAAAAATACCGGGTGTCCGGTATTTTTTGGGAGACCATCTGGCAACCCTATATCTTTGTGGAACTGTCAAAATAGAAAAGAAAATTGGGGCTGGTTTTCTTAAAGTGGGGTGGTAAGAGGTAAGCAGATCTGAGGTAGCAATGATCAGGCCCCTAATTTTCTTTAAAAGGTTTAAAAGATAAGCTTTTTGGTAGCAAATTACCACAGCAGGCATTTTTTGGTTGAAGAATAGGTTACATATACAGCAGAGTTACATTAATGATCTCAGAATTAGCCTCTCACGAACCAACAATAGAGAGGCTGTGGCCAGGTCCACACCCCTGCCCCTCAGGCTGCTGCTCCAGCCTTATACATGAGAACTGTGTCACCTTGTGACCTCAGGCTCCACTGGTCAGTGCAAGTTTATTAAGTAGTTTGCCACTCCCCCAGTGTGCAGTTTATTCACATTAGGCTTTGTAAACTGAGCTGAGATATTGCAAGTACTTGCAAAACACACTTGTTTAGTAAAATATAGAAAACATATTTATGAACTACAGAAAGATTTTAAATAAGAGATAGGGGTAAAAGGTAAGAGATAGTTACCCTGAGAAAATAAAAAGTAAGCATGCATTCTAAATTCTTAACTTGATTTAGAAGAGCTGAATCAAACAGCTTTTCTTACTCTGACAAATGTTACAAACAGGTTACAATTTCTCAGTGTGCAGGCTGGGTATTCTTTCCAGTCTTGAACCAAACTTCCCCAGTTAAGGGTCTGTTTTCCTCCCCTCATCTCAATACCAGCAAGCATGTCTGGAAAAGAGTCTAAGTGGTGAAGTCACTGCTCTTTTTTGTACCTTCCTTCAGGTGCTAGAAAGATCCTTACTGTAATGTGGGGGATCAGGCAGTGGCCATTTGTCTAGCATTTGCCATTGTGTACATTTTCGCCTCTGAGAAGCCTCTTTGACAGTGGATGATTGTGTGTTGATCCATTGATGCCTGTCTGGTTATGGATATTTGCAACATCGGAATGGTTATGGATATTTGCAACATCAGAATGTATTTCAGGAACATAAACAGCTCATAAATTTTACATACAATCCATCAAGATATTATTAAATGAATCAAGATTTATATTATGAGGTATCATTTTGTATCATGAACAAAACATAATTATGTGCTGGGGTGAATATGGACTTTCCAGAGTGCTACTGTGAGATGCAGTGTCAGTAGATAAACACAGACAAATTCAAGAATAAATATTAATTGTTTCTCTTATCAGTTAAAGGCTTGTGTCCAGGATTCTAGCACTTAACATGGCTTTGATAATTATTTAAGAGAATTGGCCCTGTTCACCATTTCAATCTTCTTTTAATATGTCCTTACAGGCTGCTTTCAGATCAGGCAGCCTGCTGGTTGCTTAACCCTCTCTGGCAGGGAATCAAGAAGGTGAGAAATAAACCAATATAGATAAGTAGCAAGATTGAAGAGAATTTTTGAGCCAAAAGTAATCCAGTGGAATCAGTAAATAGTATAAATTACAGCAAATAATATGTGAGAGCAATAACGGCCAAAGAGGATTTTGAAGAAGCAAGAGCTAAAGGGGTAAAATGAAACCAGTTATTCTTTAAGAATATCAGAACTAGGAAGCCTGTGGGAGAATCAGTGGGTTTTACTGGATCACCAAAAGTCAAAGGGAGAAGTTAAGAAGCAGAAGGACATTGCTGAAAAACTAAGTGATTTCTTTGCACAGTGCTTAACCACAGGGGACATTAAGCCTCTGTTTATCTGGTAAGAAAGGCAAAGCAGTATTAGTGACTCAAGTGCCATCATAATAAAAGATACTGGAACAAATTCTTCATTCAAAGAACAGCAAATTATCAGGCTCACATGATACGTATCAAAGTATTCTGAAGGAGCGTAGCTATAAAATGGTACAGAAAATACATACCTTTTCATTAAAAACATTCTACAGGATTGGAAGTTATCAAATGTGCATACACTTAACCTAGATCCATAGTGATTTTGTTTATTTGTTTAAAAAGCAGTAAGGCTTGCATTTATACCTGACAGATTGGTTGGAACTAATTACAAACAGGTAATAAAACCTGGGGTCACAATATTACTTGGGGGTTACACGTTTTGTAATGTAAGTTGACTAAGCTTGTTGGATGTGGAAGAGTTCCTTACCTTACCTCATTCTACAAGCTTTCTGTATGCCATCATCCTCTATTTCAGGCATTCCCTACCAGTGCCCTCAGTCTTTCCCTGTCAGGTTTCCGTGGCCCTCTGTTCTTCCCTTTTCCCTTACCACGGTGTCTCATTTTCCGTGGTCCCAGAGGCTGTGTGTGCACTCTATGCCTTTCTGCTATTAGTTGTTCTCTGTTTACCCCTGTTGTGGCAGGGGTTTGGTGTGCTCCCTTATTCCTGATATCCTCCCCCCACTAATACTACTTTGTATATCGCCAATGGAAGGAGCTCTGTGTATCCCATTCCTCCAGTCTTACCCTTCAAGGAGTGAGATGATCCTTACCCATGCCATAATCTATATGCATGCCTCGGCTCCATAATACCTTCTTGACCTTCATTCCACCTCCCTGCTCCCCTTATTTCTCTTCAGTCTGAAAGATAAATCATTCAGGCTATCTACATGTTCTTTGCTACTGAGAGAATGGACAGGTGTATTGTATGCTGGAAGAAAATAAGAGTATCGTTAGTAGGTAACAGTGGCTTCATGGAATCTAACTAAGCATGTCCATTTTGGAAGATTTAGAAAGCTTGACCTTTAAACTGATACTGTGATGCAACCTTAATTATAGTATTACTGCTGCATCATTACAATTAAAGATCAGGAATGATAGGTGAGCAGGGAGTTAGCAGGACTCCAAGGAACTTCAGTGAGTTAACAAAACTAGGTGAATTTGCATCAAGATGGCAGACTAATGATTTTGGTATGTTAAAAGTAAAATAATGCACATTTTAAAAAACCAACCTACTCCTACACCTTATAGGACTATATTAATGAATCAGCTGACACACAGCTCTCTCTCTTAACTGTGAACAGTTCAAGGAAAACCTTTGCTTGGGGTGCATCTAAGGTCAAAAAACAAATAAAATATTAGGAAGCAGAAGCTACTGTGTTGAGAATAAAACAAAATAATGTTATACCATTATATGAATTGCTTGAAATAGTTGAGGTAACTATGTATCAGAAGAAATTGGAGATTCTGAAAAGGTCAACAAATTGTTAGCATTGAAAAACTCATATGAAAACAGTTTGTGAAGACAGGGATTGTTTGCTTTTAAAGGGAGTTGAAGAAGAGGTGATTTTAAAAAAGAAAATAGATAAGGTAGAGAGCAGATGATCCCTCCTGTGTCTGAACCGAATAAGAAAAAATTCAGTGAAAGGCAGTAAATTCAAAACCAATAAAAGGAAATATTACTTCATCCACTTTTCTACTTGAACAGATAACGTCTGTTGAATTCGTTGATGCAGAATGTTATTGGGGGCCAAGAACCTGGCAAGATTCAAAAAGGGATTGAACATTTATATAAAGGGTTTTAATGTGGCCTCTAATTGTTCGATTTTAAGATTAGACCTATTATAGCAAGCTGATTGTCGTATATTTGCCTTATTTGTAATATGTACAGTTAAGTTTTGTGAATTGATAATTTAAAATCCAATTCAGTGCCATCAGAAGTCACTCAACTGGGTGGCACTCAACTGGTTTCTGCGATCATTCGATCAGCTCTTACATGCCCCAAAATCTATTGCATGACCAAACTAAGGCTTAAAAAATGGGCACCTCAGGAGGAATGGTCAATTATTTAAGCTTGCACTTGCTTTTTCCACCAAGGACAATATTGGAAAAAAAATAGTATGCCACTTTCATTAAGTTGTGTAGGTATTCATGTGCAAAATATTAAACAATAAAAATAGCTAAAATTAATCCACACCTAGGCTTCAACAGATAACATCTGGTTAAACTGAATGGGTGCGGTTCACACTTCTCAAATTTTTTTCACTGTTTTCCGTCATTTACTTAACCCCTTTGAAGGCTTTCTTCTCAACCAGATAGGCTGGTGACTTGATACATGTGCTAGATGAAAGCTTAAATTCTGGAGCACAAGAATTGCACTCGAGAGGATAGGATTGTCTTTCCAAATTGTTGTGAACCAGATCAAATTAAACCCTTTTTCGACATGAGAAACACTTTCCTCCAAAACCACTTCAATAGATGTACACACTAAGGCTATGTCCTTATTGCGCATTCTTGCGCAAGAAGATATGTAAATGAGGTACAGCGATGAATATTGCCCCACCTCATTTGCATACCTAATGAACCATCAGTTTTGCGCAAACACCTCCCCCGCGCAAGAGATGTTCTTTCTGAAAATAAGCGGCAGAACAGCTCTTGTGCACGAGGAGTGTAGACTGCTCCTTCTTGTGCAAAAGCCCCTTGTGCAAAATGGTGGCTCATTAGGTATGCAAATGAGGTGCAGAGATATTAATCACCGTGCCTCATTTGCATATCTTCTTGCAAAAGAATGTGCAACATAGACGTAGCCTAAAGGAATTCTTAAACTTCATTCTGGGGCAGATTTTCAAGGTAATGTTTAACAGCTAATAAAGGGGAACATAAATATATTAAAAACTTAAATACATAAACACTTATATATTTGTGAAAGTGCAGTTGGAAGTGTCTTGTGCAAATGGTCTCAAGTTGCAATGCAGGAGGTTTAGGTTGGATATTAGGAAAAAACTATTTAACTAGAAAGGTGGTGAAGCACTGGAATGGGTTACCTAGTAGAAATGGAGATTCCACCATGTCTCAGGTTGTCCTGGCTTGACAAAGCCCTGATGAGGACTGGCCCTGCTTTTAGCAGACTCGATAACCTCCTGAGGTCTCCTCCAACCCTATGATCTAAGCTATGTACTGGACATGCACTCTCTCTAAATTAAGTCCCAGTAGCTTGTTTTGGTAAATTGCTATGGCTATGTCTACATTACAGCGGGGATTGATGCTCTGAGATTGATCCACAACTGGTTAATTTAGTGGGTTTAGTGAAGACCACCAAATCAACCATAGATTAACTGTACTCAATGCCCAATGAGAAGAGGAAGGTAAGTTGATGGGAACGTTTCTTCTATCAACCCTCTGTGATGTAAACCCCTTGCTAATTCAACCTGCGTTATGTCAACTCAAGCTATTTTTCTCTCAAAGCTGGAGTTGTGTATTTTAGGTTGACTTTCTGTGGTAGTGTAAACATTGGCTACAACTTAATTTCTGTCTTAAATCTGTTGGTTTTATTTTTCAGAATGTAACATATTCTGGAAGACACAAAGGACAAAAGTTGCATATAAATCGTCAGAACAGCTGGCTGGGTGACATTCTGGACTGGCAAGATATTGCTTCTTTTGTTCATGAGAACATCGAGACATTTCTTTCAGTATGTATCTTTTTTGATCAATTCAACTGTTCATGAATATTCTCTTAGTACAGATCTGAACATCTAACGTGATTTTCTTCCTTTACAATAATGCAATACTCAAGAGTGCATGAAAAGTTAGAGGCAAAAGGAACTGTATCTGTCTGAGAGCCCCACCCCCGCAACCCTGCTGGGCATGCTCCAACTGGAGGACCAGTATAAAGGCCAGTAGAGCAGCACAGTCAGGGCTGACCACTATAGAAGAAGGAGCTGCTGCCAGAATTCAGGAGGAGAAGGGGGAGGAGCAGCAGCAAATAGACGCTGCAGCAGATGTCAGCCAGTGGAGACAGGCTGGGGAAGCTCCCAGTCTGGATGAGGCAAGTGGGGAAGATGCTGGCGATTATGAACCAGGTAGGAAATAGACCAGGACGAGGAGCTGGAGACCCCGAGAGCTCAGTGTGTTGCAGGCGGATTCTCCGCTGAGCTAATAGTAGGATGCACCCACCACTGATAGGGCCCTGGCCTGGGACCCAGTGGAGAGGGAGGGCCCGGGTCCCCATACTCCACCTTCATTATACCCTGAAAGGATACTACTGTGGTGACTACTAACTTTGGCCGCCAGGCCATATGGCCCTGTGAACTGGAGGCTGCTATAGACTCAGGCTGCTGCTCCAACAGATGGTGACCCAGCAACAACTGCAGGCGACACAACAATAGGAGCAGCAACAGCAAAGGGAACTTGCTGCACAACAGCAGGCTCAGCAGGATCAATGGATGCACGAGAAGATGATGCTGTGGCAGACTGCACCACCTCCCGTCCCTAGCCCTGCTGATGATGGTGCTGGGGGTGGCCTATGAGGGTTGCCCATATGACTCACAAAGTTGGGACCCCACGATGACCTTGAAGCCTACCAAATGATGTTTGAGTGGATCACTGCCATTGCAGAATGTTCACCAGAGCACTAGGTCACATTACTGTTACCTTACCTAATAGGTCCTGTTCAGATGGCCTACTGGAACCTGGACCCCCCATGAGACACTGGAGTACCCCCTGGGTTAAGGCAGCCATATTAGATTATGCTGGGGTCAGCCCCAAGATGTACTGCCAGCAGCTGTGACAGGAGTGGTACCCTACAGGAGCCAGGCCCAGAGCGATGGCTCAGCAAATCTAGGATCTCTATTGGCAATGGCTGGAACCAGACCAACAGACAGCAGCACAAGTAGCAGAACTGTTAGCCCTGGAGCAGTTTGTGCAGGTCCTGTCTAAGGGTGAGAAAGAGTGGGTTCAATGGCACCTCTCTAAGACCCTTGCCAATGCTGTCTCCTTGACAGAGTACTGTATGGCGGCTGATGAGCCCACAAAGCTGGATCAGAAACCAGAGAGTCTGAGGGCCCAGAGCAAGCAGCAGGACAGGGGGCTTGCGAAGGCTAATGGAGGGAGGTAACCCTCCCATGTCAGCCCACTATGGCAACTCAGTGCATCCTCATCCAAAGGAGCCTGTTGGGGATACCTTTGGAAGAGGAGGGATAGACCCACTAAGAGAGCGGAGGGCTTCGCTCAAAGAGGCTTCACCTATAGGACAAAGTTATGGCTGCTGCTATGAGTGTGGCCAGAAGGGACATTTCCAGAGGACTGCATTTATGGGTGGGTGCTGGTGGCAGGATCACGGGCCAGGAAGAGACCGTGCCAATATAGTGGTCTTGGTAAGGGTTAAGGGAATGCTTGTCATGGCGTTGATGGACTCTGGGTACAGCCAAACCCTCATCCAGGCAGGATTGACTTCTCTACCAAACAAACTGGGCCACCTGGTGCAGTTACAATGCATCGATGGGGATGTGAAATAGTATCTAATGGCCTGGATGAATCTGGTGGCCAGGCAACAGGAAGAACGACGCTGAGTGGTGGTGGTTCAGAAATTAGCCTACCCATTGTCTTAGGGTGCAGTTGGCCTGAATTTCCAGATTTCCTGAGAAGTGACAATATTCAGGTCAGGAAAACGAAAGCTCCTCAATGCATTTGGATGGCGCTGATGGGACGAGCCCCACTGGACAACCCAGGTGAAGGTTCCTCAGGGACCCTGAAGACAGATAGATCTGGGCACAAGCCCGTGGCAGCACCAGACAATCCAATGCAAGCGGTATTGGACCTTGAAAGAGATTTCCTTGAGGAACAGAGGAGTGACCTGATCCTCAGTTGAGCTGGAAGCAGGTAGCAGAACTGCCCTCAGGAAGCGATCTGCCATGACGGCAATCTCAGGGTCCCCGGTTTGAGGTCTGCAAAGACCTTTTGTACCAGCAGGCCCAGGACCCACAAACCAAGACAGACGTTTGCCATCTGTTAGTTCCACGGAGGTTCTGGCAGAGGTTACTATGCCTAGCGCATGCAGTGCCCTGGGCAGGGAATTTGGGAAGAAAGAAGACATTACAAAGAATAGCTCAGTGGATTTTTTAGCCAGGGATACACCAGCATGTCTGCGACTACTGTGCATCCTGCCTTGAATGTCAGAGGACCAGCCTTGAAGAAGTCTTGTGGGCGCTACTGGTAGTTGGGACTCCTTTTGAATGGATAGGCTTGGTCCTCGTGGGACCCTTGGAGATGAGCAGTAATGGGCATAGATACATCATGGTTATAGTGGACTATGCCACGCATTACCCCAAAGCTGTTCCCTTGTGAGCTGCTACCTCCCCCGCTATAGCTGAGCTCCTGAAAGTATTTGCCAGGGTGGGCCTACCAAGGGAGATATTAACTGACCAGGGAACTAACATGATCTCAAGGGGCCTGTTAGAGTTAATGCCCTGCCTTGGACGGGTGCTGGGTCTAAGACTGTGGTGACTGCCTTTTAAAGGTAGTAAAAGCCACCCAGCTATTACTACATTTAAACTGCAGAGCCACAGGGGGCATAGCTCTCAGACTCAGCATGAGCCAGGACTGAACTGGGTTGCTCAGTCCTGGTTTGTGCCAGGTCTAGAGACCATGCGGACAGGGGCTGCTGCTGGAGCAGCCTGTTTGCGATTAGCCCAGGCTGCTGCAGACAGGGGCTGCTGCCAAGAAGCAAGTCCTGTCTATGGTGGCCTGGGCTGTCTGCAAACATAGGCTATTCTGGCAGCAGCCCCTGTCCATGGGGGTTCCCAGGCTACACAGTGGAGATGGTGCCAGGAGGCTCTTAAGCAGTCTCTCCCAGGTCACCCCCTGCTGCCTCTGATACAGAGGCACCAAGAGGTGGTAGAGGAAATGTGAGTAGTTGGCTACTCGACTAGTTGCCTACATCACTAATCTCTCCTGCTTTAAACCTGTCCCCTCCCAATAAATCTCATTGTTGCAATATTACTGCGTGGGGTTCAAGTAAGTTTTTAATTTCTGTAAAGCTTTTTTTTTTCTTTTTACTTTCTTGAAGATAATTACAGTAATATGAATCTCTGGCTACTCTTGTGGTCAAATATTAATTTGCTTCTCTCCCTTCCCAATAAATTCATATTGCTCCTTTTCTGTGGCATAGTTCCTTTCTCACCTCTCTTGGATCATTAATTACTGTTCTTATTCTTATTAGGAATTTATGCCATTAAAAAACACTTTTTGTGGGGGAAGGTGGCGAGTCCCTTTTTTGCCTGGCAAGTAGGGTTTTACATAATTTGTCGACCTCTGATCATTACAGTTGTCTTTGAAGTAAATTTTACCACTTGCCTATCACTGAGGAGAAAGCAAAAAAGTTGAATTAAAATGGCCTATATTTTTGTTTTCAAGCTCCTAAAAAGGAAATAAATGTTTAAGCTTAGTTGAAAAATGCTAATATGGCAACAGCAGACTTAAAAGGTTTTCTATAAGACTAACTTGACCCAACGTAACTTTTTTTTTTGTTAAATTCAGTCTATTTAAGTCATAGCTGAAGGAAATATTGATCAAAGGGTTGAGAGGTTGGTTCCTTAACCTCGTTTTTAAAAATTGTTATTCATTGTTTTGAAAGCAGCTTATTCTTTGTGAAAGTTCTCTGAAGAATGAAATTAATATTTTACACTGTGTGGTTCCCTGAATTAATGCACTGGTCTTCTCACCTCTTCAAGAAAAACTTTTTTTACATTGAAACCAATTCAGACTGAAGCAACTAACTTGTACTTAAATGGCCTATTAGGTCAAGAATTGTTAACATGCAGAATCCCTACTTTAATGTAGTGATAGAAATGTAGCCGTGTTAGTCTGGGGTAGTTGAAGCAAAATGCAGGACAATGTAGCACTTTAAAGACTAACAAGATGGTTTATGCGCAGGAATATGATATGCGCATCCAGAAATATAATCTATGCTATCATGTGCCGAAAGTGTCCGTCTGCTATGTACATTGGACAAACATCTCAGACACTTCGCCAAAGGATTAATGCCCACAAAACAGATATCAGACAAGATCACAAAGAGAAAACAGTTTCTTGCCACTTTAACCAGAAAGGACACTCTCTAAATGACTTAGCCACCTGCATTCTGCTACAAAGACCTTTTACATCTGCACTTGAAAGGGAATCCTCTGAACTGTCATTCATGTTAAAATTCGACACTTGCCAACAAGGACTTAACAAGAATTTGAACTTTCTCACCCATTACCAAGACAGTTTCCCCAATTATCACCTGTAATACCATTAACTCACAAACATCCCACTCTCCCTACCTTTAATATCAGCAATTCACAGACACTTACCTTCCTTCCTCCCCCTTCCCACCCCCCCGCATCCCCCTTCTGTTCTGCAATGTGATTTGTCCTTTTCATATTTGTTCATTTTTTTAATTGTATCCTTTGGTATATATGGTTGTGACTACTTTCTTCCACTATTTGATCTGAGGAAGTGGGTCTGGCCCACGAAAGCTCATCATCTAATAAACCATCTTGTTAGTCTTTAAAGTGCTACATTGTCCTGCATTTTACTTTAATGTAGGTACTTTGAAATTCTTGACTTGATCACTATAAAACAAGAACAAAAAATGTTACTGTTTGTCTATCTCAGAAAATAACTTCTCTGCTAACATTCAGCATTTCTT